AGATTTATCACGGTGACCGTAGGGGATAAACTACGAAAACAACAGTACAAAGCAAAAAATCATAATGTAAGAGAAACGGAATTTTCTTTGTTATGTTGGTATTCATCATCCCATTTCTCTAGTTTAGAAAACGACTAAACATACGAAAAGGACAGACTGAAAAGTACATCGCGCAGACCTAACCACTGAATTCAGGAATTTGTCTATTTGAAACAATATTTTCTTTATTGAAAATAAAACTTTAAAGGCTTAATTAACTTAAATTAACGTAAACTTCTTGTGTGGTTTATTGTCATTATGTAAGAAAATAGATTGAACATCCGAATAAATTATTTCGTAAGAACAATTCCATTATGAAATATATTTTTTTTAAAGTTTTTCCAATTTTATTCAACTGCAAGGTTTTGTAAAATTCATTTCTACCAATATTATGACGAATGGAATTGATTTGATCGAATCCGCTGAATTCCCTCTCCCCTGTGGGAAAACAATAAAACCAACTTTTGAATCGCGATTGTCCGAAATTGCTTAATAGCCCCAATCATCTTCCAAATCCAAATCGAGAGGGGGGTCTTCTGTCTTTCTCCAAAGAAGGTCAGGATGTGTCCTCAATTCGTTCTCCAACCACCCCAGGCAACCCGTCCTCCACCGATCTGGCACAATGTTAATCCTATATTCACCAGTAGGAAAACTTAACGGCCCTATTTTACAACTTACTAAAAGGTGCCTTGTTTACATTTCGGTACGCGATTTAACACGCTGATTAGTGAAAACTTTGATGAAGTTTGGATTAAAATAAAAGAAATACTTGAAGGAAGACAGTAATCATCCAGAAAATGTATTACAACAAAGTATTTATCTTATTTAACATAAAAATATATTATGATTTACATACAAGAACAATTTTAACTAGGCTTTTTATTAAAATCCTTAGTGTTTTTTGTATATTGACCCATTGCACCCTATTTTCTACATAACCTGCCTGAATCCATCATTCTTTTTTATTTTGTTAACAAAGTTATAATCAAAATTCCGTGATCTACATACCGTTTCTCATTTACAACGGTGAATTTTCCACGTTGATGCTTTATAATAAAACTGTTTAAAATATGGCCTGCGAAATTAATATACAAAGATGAGAAACGTCGCGATCCGCCTAACGGAAATCTCTTTCTGTTGTTGAGAACGCTGTAATAATTTACCGCTACGATATTTTACATTATTATGAGGAAATTATACTGAAGAATGCGAGAAAAAAAATCATAGATTACTATTATTACACGGTTGCGAGTTAATTAAAGGAATTGGGTTTGGAGGACGAAAGGTACAACGTCGGTCGAGATGCACGTACGGAATTTTACATCGCAAACTGCAATAAAATAAATAAAACTCGGACGGTTTTTCTATTTTTGCACGACAATTATCAAATAAGAAATAAATCTGAGAGGGGAAAGCCTGCAGATTAATGCAGACACCCTTCTCAAGTGGGCCAATGACCCGCTAAACCTCGATCCTATGAAAGACAACTGCACTCCTGGTTTCTGGCCTATATTTATTTATTTAAATTTTACGATTTTAAACCATTTGAAAAGCTAGTCGACAAAAGATTTATTAATAAAATACTCTCATAAAAGAGACATTACCCAGTCCTTCTATTTTGAAGTTATTTTAACAGTACTTTTTTTTATTTCCATCTACACAGACTATAAAGATTGTGTGATGAGCTACATTGACATTGTTATAACACGCGAGGAGCCAGTAATCATTGTTGATATCTCAGCTTTTCGATTAGAAGGTCCAGGGGCCATTTCGGCTTCAGTCACTGATGGGATTGTTTGAGCGGAAAAGTTAGGGATTAGAATTTTAACGAATGGGAGGTCATAGAACTGCGGACTTCGGTTTTGAAGGACTTCTTTGGATGTTGTAATGTTTGGCTGTGCCCAATAGTTCTAATACAAATTGGTATCAGTAGTGCGTCGTACTGATTGTTTTTGTCGTTGTTCCTCTGTTTTTTCTAGTGTCTATCGGTTTAGATTTGACTTCAGTCGAGATAGAACACAGTCTACAAGTTAGACAATACAGTACAAGCGTAAAATCAGTTTCTCAGTTTTAGGGATGGGAGTATTATGGAAGAAAGAGGCATAATATATGAGGCTTTTTTCGGAGGGTAAAGGTGCCGTGGAAATCTTGAGAATCAGTTGCAGGATGAGGATCAGAGGTTAGCTGTGTAGAGAGGTATAGATGAGGTAAAGGATTGACCAGAGCACACTGCCCTGTGTCCTTCCGCTCCCAAAGGGCAGTTTTCGAAGTAGTCCGATTCTTGGCGAACTTGGAAAAATCTTCCCATTAGATAAGACCGAAGGATTAAGTATAAGATCTGTGAAAGGTTACATTTTCCAGTGACAGGCCTTCTCGCACGTAATCCAGCTTCTAAAAGTCTTCGCGTTACGCGTAAAGTGACATTAACATTTCTAATTTGTTGAAGTCGTCGCTTGATTTCAACAGCGGTAGATTGTGTCGATTTCTTAATGGACAATCTAGCGCTGTCGAGATGGGACACGATGGCGACCTGATCCATCTTTCTTGAGTATCCTCCAGTGTCTTGGTGCGATGGAAGACCAACAAGGGACAGTTGTTCTAGGAATGTTAAGCACTCTGGCCATATACGCTTGACTTCTTCCTTCTTCCAACAACGCTATGTTTCTAGCCGAATCTGTACCTCTTAAAACCATCACTTAAACAAATTGAAATTTAAAAATGGTACTATTTGAAAAAATCAAACCACTGGAACGTTAGAAAGAAGCTTTACAGAAAAACCAACAAAGAAGAGATGTCTAATCAAAGATTTTTTCATAAATTCCAATTGTAAAGGCGATTGGGAGATTTTATATATTTTATTTACCTCTATTTACCTATATTTTATTTTAATACTTTAAAACGGACCAAATATTGTAGTAAGATAATTAATGGAGAATTGCCTAAGAAATAAATAAAAATATTAAGGATGGCCACTTTTTTGCCTCACATTGTAATTTGTACGGAATGAGAATGAAAAAGAATTGTCCTCACATTAGTAAATAATTACAATTAATTAAGGTTTTTAGTTGAGATAAAAAAGGCAATGGCACGAGCGGGATTCGAACCCACGATCTTCGGGTTGATACGCCGCTGCTCTACCACTTGAGCTATCGTGACCTCGATCCACCCGGACACCAACTCCCCATCTCCACCGCACCTTTTGGATTTTCCCTCCGTTTTGCCATTTTTCAAATGTCGTGTAATCGGATTGGATTCTCGACGATAAATGAAATGGCCACGGAAAACTTTAGTGAAGTATACTTCATTTTAAATCATTAAATTCACTAAATACACACTAAATTCGGCGTATCAAGCCGAAGATCGTGGGTTCGAATCCCGCTCGTGCCATTGACTTTTTTATCTCAACTAAAAACCTTAATTAATTGTAATGTATTAATTGGTCAAGCGGACCACGAAATTGGTGAAATTAGTAAATAATTTGACCTCTGAAATTCTTCATAATCCAAAATTGGCTAATGATCGATGTCTGTACTACCGTCTATCTATTATGTTGCTGGATGTATCCAACTGTTGTTTGGTCTGGGAGTGTATTATACTGCACCCTTTAAGAGCTATTGTATCCCCTGTTCTGTGCTTAAAGCACACCGGTAAGTCCTAGTTCATCAAGGAACTTGATTAGTAGGCCCGGTTTCAGTGGTTGAATCTCTTCTAGGTTAAGTTGAATGTCTCAAATCCTGGGGTCAAGTGTAGCACCACAGCTTATTAATACGTGTGTTGGTCTCCTCTGCTACTTTTCAGAATCTGCGCGTGCCATCTTGGTTTATTCCAATATTTTCACATGCCAATTTATTTAAGAATCCTGTTAGGATTCGAAGTTTTTTCCTGCTTCCTTTAATACATTCTGTTACCTCATTCCTTCCAAAGAGTTTTAGGAGGTTCTTGAATTCGTCCAATGAGTCCCTTGTCCAGTATAATAGAAGCTTGTCTTTTCTTGGCTCCTTACAGAGAGCGTCTAGGCAGTCGCCAAATTTAGGAAAGGTTCTTGGGTACAGTAGCGAGTTTCTGGATCCCCTGTTCTCGTTTTGAACAATGTGGGTTTTTTGTTATTTTATACAGATCTTGTTATGTGTTTTGTTTGAGTGCGTCTATTTATTAGTGTGATGGTGAAATATAGCGTCACCCTCGCCCATCCAGCAGTGCGTATGTTTGTGAATATATGAAAGTACTCAATCGAACCTAATTTAGATTAGATTATTAATATTGCGAGTAGGTCGATGGAGTACCAAGTACTACTCCACCGACTGATCAGAATGAGTATAATATACATTAGATGTAAACGTATTTTGAATTTGTATGTTGTATGTAACGTATTTTTTTAATATATGCAACTGACTGATAGAAGTTAGTTAGTTTTAGGCTAGATATTTTGCATGTTTGGGGGCTGAAATGACCTAGCCGTCGAAAGGTTGTTGGAGTTTAACCCAGTTGATTGGGAAGCGACGATCTCCTGGACATCTGGCAAAGAAAGATATGGCTTTTAAATAATATTGCTTCAATTTTTTAATGTTGACTTAAATATATGACAGCAAACGTTATAATCTTACAAAATTTATTTATTCGTTTTTAATATACCCGTGATTTTCTGCATATTAATGATCCAATACTCATCGTATTTAATATTGCAACAATGCGTTAACTTTTGCTGTGATTTTTCTTTTATGATGGGATTTAATATTAAAATAAAATGATAAAACATGACAGGCTTGACGTATTTGTAATAATATTGATTTTCTGCTTAAATAGAAAAATCCAATTTTACTTTATCAAACTATGAATCGATTTTCATTCATTTATAATAAAAAACGAAACCTGCTCGATTGATTTTCAACGCAATTTTGATCGATCAAGTCAAAAACCTGTTTTAAAAAATTTTAAATTAAAAACAAACATTTTATTTTTAGGGTATTGCTAAGAGATGTCAGGTTCAGCCTGCACACAACTCAGCTTTCATCCCAAGGTCAGTTTTATTTCTATTTCGCCAAATTTCATCAATAAAGTGAAAAATATAATCATAATTTTTCAAAATGATTTTCCAGCTTCCAATATTGGAAAAGAACCAATACAAAAATGTTCCGTGCAGATCGACAGTGGATATGCTGTCTCAGGTACTAATCATTTATAATATAAATCGTCCTTCTATATTCTATTTGTTTATTTGAATTATTTTTTTTTTTTGTCAGATGGTCGGGGTAGAAATACTTTATGGCGTTTTGAGCGAAGAACATCTAGGACTCCAGATCAGGCTTATAGAGACGGCGCGTAGGTTGAAAGCCGAAGAGGCGAAGAGGAAGGAGCTCGAAACCTGCCTAAAACGTGAAAATCCAATCAATCTAGCCTTGGCGGAAAGGATCCAGGCTCTTGAAGAATCTGAGGCTAAATTAAAACGGTGCAATGAAGACCTTAGGGAAGAAAATGACCTACTCGAGTTCAGGTTGCTCGAAATGGAGGACACCGGCAACTTGAACAAAGTAAGCCGAATAATTGATAAGTTGATGGGACGATTCTTGTCTATTAAAATATATTCCAATGTTTTAAATGTTAAAAACATTCCAATGTTAATAACATAGTCAATAATGGACTGCTATTAATTGGAAGGATCAATGCCTCGTGTCTTCACGGAGTTCTCTCAGATTTTAAATTTTTTGGTACTCAATATGATAAACGTTCCTTTTCTTAAAACAATATTATAGTTTACCCCTAATTTATAATTTTTTTAGCACACATTATTAGATTATTTTAAATTATATTTTATGATATCAGGCTGTAAAGATTACTCGCACTTTTCCCTATTCATCTCATTCTATCCGTTTTCTGGGTCAATTTTTTCTCTTCTTTAAGGAAAATAGGAGTACGAAATGAAAAGCTTCTTTTTGAATCGTAAAACAGCGTGTTGTATTTTCTCTCTCTCAACCTCAATCTCTCTCATTACCTATTTTCTCTACACATTTTCCTCTCATTTTTCTCTCTCTTTCTTCCTGCTGGTATGTTTGTCTTCTGTGTCTCACCCCTTATTCTCTCTTTGCCTATTTTCTCTACATTTCTTAAACTATCTAGGAAAAACACATTTCCCTTTCAATTTCTCTTCCTTTCTTCCTGCTTGCTCGCTTGCTCTTTTTCTCCCTGGAACTCATTCTCTCTGTCTGTCTGTCGGTCTGTTTCTCTCTCACCCTCTCTCTCTCTCTCTCTTTCTCTTTTCTTTTTGTCTGTTTGTCTTCTGTCTCTCACCCTCTCATTCTCTCTTTTCCTATTTTCTCTACATACCTTAAACAATCTGGGAAAACACATTTCCTTCTCACTTCCTCCATCTTTCTTCCTGCTCGCTCTTTGTCTCCCTGACATTCCTTCATTCTGCCTATCTCATTCTCGTTTTTTCTCTCTCTCTATCTCTCTTTCTCTCTCTTCTCTCTACCACTCTTTCTTTCTCTCTTTTCTCTCTATCTCACCTTCTTTCTCTTTCTTCTCTCTATCTCTCTTTCTTTCTTTCTCTTTCTTCTCTCTCTTCTCTATATCTCTCTTTCTTTCTCTCTCTTCTCTCTATCTCTCCTTCCCTCTGTTGCTCTCCTTTGCCTATTTTCTTCCACTATCTGAGACACACGGTTTCTTCCTTTAAGCAGACGCTCGAAATTTCTCTCTTTCTCTTTTTTTTCTCTGTCTTCTACCACTCTTTTGATCAATTTTGTTTTAAAAAATTGACTAAATTTCTCCTTTTTTTAAACTTGTACCAACAGTATCGGCAAGTTTAAAGAACTTCTTCACGTTCTATCAGTTATGTAATTATTTCTCATTAACTTCTCCTCCATCAGTTTCATCTAAGTTTTTCTTCTCGTTTTTTCCAAGTAGTTAATATATATATCAATGCTCATAATTCATTCTTGTTCTCCTGTAACTTTGAAAGTTTAGTGTTCCTGTATTCACCTGTGTTTACTCAAACTCAACATTGTCAGTTTTGCCTCACTGACTTACTTATTAAATTACTCGCCAATTATTAATAATTGCTATTCTTGAAATAGACATAATTGAACATTTGTGTCTAGCGGAATGTTTCCACCACATCCCACCAAGAGGCCGACGATGTGAGCGATTCTGGGGTCACGTCTCTTCCAACCAGCGACGACGAACATCACGAATTCGTAAGTACTTTTTTAGTACATAACTTAATAATCAACTCAACAGTTATGGTTCATCTATATCATACTCAAAAGCTAAGAAATTGAAGGTACAGATGATTTTTTTCATCAATGTTTTACAAAACCTATAGAAAATGGCTGTTTTAGTACTCCATCCCCTTAATAGAATACATTTTCTTTTAGTTTTCTCAAACAGAAATTACATTTTAAATTTCTTGCCGTGACAGGATGTCCAAGACCGCGACGTTAAGACGAGGCTGATGAAGATGTGCCAGAACGTGACGAACGTTTCGGAAAGAATCTGCCTTCAGCAGTGTCTCGCCCTCCTGAGACACTACGAAGCCAGAATCGAGGGTTTAGAGTCCACCATCTCTGCAATGTGCAATGAGGCAATCATGGTAATTACAAAAAAAATAATTAAAATAATCAGACATTTGAATTGTGTTAAACCTTTAGGAGCTTTGTTTATAAAATGATGTCTATCTTGGTTTAAACAAAGCCAACCTTGGCTCAACATTTCTTGGCCAGGAACATAATTATATAGATTACATTTCTGTTTTAAAAGTTAATTTTCATTGATAACTTTGAGTAATCGTCAAGGTTACTTTTTTTAAATAAATTGACCTGGTCGAAATAACTTTCATAAATTCGCAATTGTACCTAAAATATTCAAAATTTCAAGACAAATCATAATTTGACAAGTGCAATTAAAATGAACCACGAGCTTTTCTTCCTTCTCCTGGAAGGTGGAAGAATTTTTTCTTGTCTGCCCGGATCTTACGTCTGTTGTAATTATTTTGAAAGTTCTCTCATTCGTGCGTATCAGAACTTCAATTACTTGATCTTTTCCGTTGATACTTCTAACTTCACTTCTTCTCCTCTCTCTCTCTCTCTCTCTCTCTCTCTCTCTCTCTCTCTCTCTCTCTATCCTCTCTCTTTCTCTCTCTGTCTCTTTCTCGCTCTCTCTCATTTTCAAGATTTTCAACTTTCGTTTATTGTGTATACCCATGAAACGTATATATTGAACTGTATTTACCTTATACATTATACAGTATAAATGCATATGGATACTTATCATATTACAAAATTCCTCCTAGCAACCGAAAATATTTATATTTAGTTGGTAATACAGTTTATATAGGTCTATCGGCAAAAAAAAAAAAAAAAATTTTGTAAATGTCTGTGCTTCTAGTTTTATTTTTTAATATTATGTTTCATCTCTACCTATGCAACTCAACGATTTTTTCTGTTTGTCTGACATCTTCTATTTCACTTCTCTCTTTCTTTTTCTTCCTTTCTCTCTCCCCCCTCGCCCTCTCTCACTCTCTTCAGAGCAACAACGATTTCAAGAGATGGAAAAATGACTCTCTCACTCAATGATACAAAATTTGTCTCGTTGAAATGATTTCTATTGACCGGAACTATTATGGTCCTGTGTTGGCGAGTTCACGAGCGCCAATTTTCAAACAATTATTTTCGCGATAGTTAAATTTATTTTATAAATCGAGATTTATTTGCCTTTCCCCTCGATCCTTGTCAAACTTTATTGTGACACGGTCCCTAATTTATCGACGGTTTCTTTCCCTTGGCTCTTTGTGATTTACGCTCTCCCTCTATAATTGATTTCGACTTTATTCAATCCCACTAGGATTAAATACAAATAAAATAATGTTTTAAAATAAAACCATAGCATATGTTAACAGAAAAGGGCCCTTTTATGCAGTCTAGAAGAGCCAGAGGAAGGAAATCTAAGATACAATAAAATAGTAATCAATTGAACAATTTGGACTAAGACTATCTTTCAAATAAGCTAATTTATTAATTGAAAATGACAATGCTCCATAAATATCACATTTACTCTCAAAATCTGTTAACTCGGTCATATTTTAAAAGAAGAACGTGAAGGGTAACATCACTTCATTTTATATAACCGGCCAATAAATCAAGGACGTTTGTAGGAAAATTCTTATATGGTAAATAAAACAGTTATAGGATAAATAGTTTATGCAAAATACAGGCTTTATCTTAATTTAAAACAAACATTTCAACAACAACAAGAACAAAATAATGTGAACAGTGTCTAGACTCTATACTATTGTTTAGTCATATCTGACGTTTTTTGTCTTCCCTTTTGATGTTAACACTCGAAAGGACGGTTTTTATACAGACATACAGTCAAACAAAATATTTATATTATGTAATACGTATATACATACATGTAGATAAAGATGTAGATGTAATATTTGGGGTGTAATATACTGCGCCCTTTAAGAGCTATTGTATCCCCCGTACTCTGCCTAAAGTACATCGGTGAGTCCTATTTCATCAAGGAACTTGATTGAAGCTCTTCTATGGTCACATTATACTTCCCAAAGCACTTCTTCCTGCGAGCAAGTGTAGCAACGCCGATTGTTAGTAGGTGTGTTGGTGTCTCCTCTGCCTCTTTGCAGAATCTGAATGTGACGTCTTGGATTATTCCAATCTTCTTTAAGTGTCAATTTAGCTTGCAGTGTACCGTTAAGAATCTTAGTAGGATTCACAGTTTATTCCTGCTTCTTTTGACGTATTCTGTAATTTCTTTTCTTCGAAATTTGTTAGGAGATTCTGGGATTGCTTGTGTCCAATGAGTGAATTCCATCGTTCCTTCATTTTCTTTTTGTCTTTCTGTCTGAGATACTCATTAATAGTGTGGGTTCCTATGCCACAGAAGGGTTCGGGTCCTATCAGCGTGTAGCAGCTCCTTTTCTTTCAAGGGTCCCGCTTTCTCGTTACCTTCTACTCCCATGTGTCCTGGGACCCAGCAGAGGCTGACTTTGTTCTGCATACCTAATATGTTTAATTTGATTTTGCAGTTCAGCATCATCTTTGAACTAATGATATTTGAGTTTAGAATTTTGATGGCTGCTTCTATCCGACAGCTATGTTCTTGTTTTTGTACCCTTTATTCAGGTTGAGTTGAGTACATCTCTCGATTGCGTGAAGCTCACCTTGGAAGATACTGGTGTATTTTCCCATGGGTTCTGAGTTCTGCCCCTGTGCCTTCTTGTGTTCTAGATCCTGTGTACCAAAAGATGGTGCCATTCGTCAAGGACGTGTTTCCCTCTCGTTCCCATTCTTTTTTGGTACCTAGATTTATTTGGAAGTTTTGATTAAATTATAAGATTTATGATGGCTCATAAACATGTCTTGGCCACGTGTCTTGGAGCCTTTAGTATCGGATGGTATACATGCGTATATAACATGATCGTAATTTATAACAGACATAGATACGTATACAGTTGATCGTTCAAGTTAGATTGTTTTAAATTGATGTTTAATTTAGCTTTTTTTCACGACCACTGCCAACTTCGTTGTAAAAATCAATCAACAGTCCACATTTTTTAAAAATAACTGTCCCTTAACGGTTACTTCTACTTTATTCCACCCCCGTACGGTCAAATAAGATCAACATAATTTTTTGTTGTTGTTGCAACAAATGAACTGGACACGTTCCTTTTTGCACCGTCTTCGATAATCTACTCCGGGAAAGTAAAAGTACGAACATTATGTAAGGAAGGTGTGTTGACTATAATTACAGAAATAACGGGGTTGGTCAAAAAATGAACGTCCATCGATCTTTTAAGCGTAATCGAATGATTGTATAACATCAATAATTGACCAATGACTATTTTGGCAGTTTTTAGATCTCTCGAGAAATTTCATAAAGCGAACTTATCGAATGAAAATATCCTGTAATGCAGTTTTAAAATTGGATGTGTTTTTGGTGTTTACAAATTTTTTGCATCACCGAGTTTCCATGGGTCGACTTAACCACGGTTAAGATTAGGACTTTGTTAGGTTAGGCAGGGTTGTATTAGTTTAGCTAGCGCTAGAGTTATGTTTGGTTAAAATAGTTAGCTAAGATTAGAACTTAGAGTTAGATAAGGTTAGGTTAAGTAGGGTTATCAGCAAACAATTTCTGAAAGCTTTTCTATTTTTTGATATAGAAACAATGACCGGAACATCGGTCAGAGCCACCGACGAAATTTGAGGCTTTTAAGGCACTCCATTATTTTATTTATCGATCCAGCCAAAATGTTTCCATGATAGACAAATCGTTTAATAGGTTGGCTAAAGTTAATGTTAGAGTTAGAGATGGGTTAAGCAAAATTGGGTAGGGTCAGGTTAGAGTTAGATTAGGTCGGGTTAGCCAGGGTTGAGGTTAGGCTAGCTAGGGTTAGTTTTACTTAACAAATTCGTCAATAATTAGTTCATGACGCGACACCTACAAGCAATTACTGATGCCTTTTCGATTTTTTTGCCTAAAAATGACTGCAGATTTTTGCATTTATTGGCTTGAAAGCTACTACAATGACCACAACTTCGGTCCGACCCACCGACGAAATATGAGGCTTTGGGATGTTACGACATTCCATTATTTTAATTAATTGAGCCAGCCAAATTTTTCCTCGATAGAGACAAGTCGTTTCAATTGAACTAATTGGATTTTTCAAGAAGCATTTCAACACAAGCTGATCTTTATTTAGCTTTCCCCCACGTCCTCTCTCCAACTACAATGTAAAATGTAATCCAAAGTCGCGCTAATTTTCTAAACAACTCCAACCTTGTCTCTTTGACAGCAAACCACAAACGGAAACGCCTTTTGTCTATAATTTACACCTAATTTATCCCTCGCCCTGTTCGATGGAGCCGGAATAAATCAATTTTTAACTAGAAACGGAGCTTTACAAATTGCAATTGTTTCAAGATACATTCTTTTCTTCACAGCCTTTGATAATCTAATCTGGAAAAGTACGAATAAGCTTGATTATTACGTAATACCATCTGATCGTGAACAGTGATTAGCGGAATTGTGTGTCTGATGAAAATTCATTCAATTTTCGATTTGCCTGTTTCAGTAATTTTATGCTAGTTACAAGCCGGGATATTATAGGTACATATAAGGGATATAGGTACCTGTTCTTTATGGTATCTTCTTAAAAGCTTTTTTGACCGAGGCAGTGTATTTTTTACCGTCTTCTAGAGACCCCAAACGCTATTCGATTAGACGTTCTTTAGTAACCGCAATCTCATTAGTCTGCGATATGCCTATCTTTCATGTGGTTTAACCATGGGATTATTTGCGATTTGGTTTTTTTAATATAGGTAGGGGTTGATTAAGATTTATAAAAATCCTTTTGACCTAAAAAGACCTATTGTGGAACCCCTATAAATTATAGCCATAAGTGCACATTTTCCTTTAAGACAGCACTTTCCTTGTTGCGAAGTGGCTATACCATAACCCTGCTAATGATCCACATTTACAAAGGATATGTTTCGATATTTCTGGTTCCTCCTGATCTTTAAATGTTAGTTAAGAGGGAAGTGGCCGGTATAGAGGTATTGCTCCTTTTCGGCTAGCTGGTCAGCCTGTTCCGTTCCTTCCATGACTCACAAGAACCCACTTTAAGGTAATCTTTTTTTGTTTTCCACGTGTCATTTGGCAATTTACAACTCCCACCAGTTTGGAATTGAAAGCATACGTATTTAGTGCCTTGGCTGCCTAGATTGTGTCTATGCACCGTTCATATTTTTCTTTATTAACTCCAGTGGACAGAGTGGTATTGCATTATTGAGGTTAGCCCAAGGGGCTTTGCTAGGGTATAGTTCGAACTTTTTACCCTACACCTCTCGTTGTTCCATCTTTGATCCATCTGTGTACCATATTTGGGTGGGAAAATACTTTTCTTTAAAGGTGGGACCACCTTTCTTCCAAAAGTCTATTATTTATGTCCAATTTGGTACGTCAAAGTTGAGTTTTTCTCTCTCTTTATCAAGTACCGTTACAACCATTTCATTCATTTTAATTCTTTCCAGAATTTTTTGGTGCTCCTCCTTAGATCTGGCTTTACTTCCTTGTCTCTCAGGCGTCTGTTGTCACTCTCAAACGTCACTTTTTGTACATAAATTTGTAAGGTCGGGTGCGGTTTTCATTGCTGTAGGGCAGGTTTGCATTGCCCCTGTTATTGAGACACGCTAGTCTTTGTAGATTTTGGGTTTGGTTTACATCTCCTTGTTCATTGATTCTGGCCATATATGACCAAAGGTCTGACCGTTGTGGTGTATAACCAGTTTATGGCGTTTATTCACCAGTTTTTACTGCATAAGCTCTGGACAATGCTTAGTAGAAGCTTGGCTTTATGCCGAGGCCTATGTGTTTCCCCATTTGAACCTTTAGTCAAGGATTATATCTAGGCACTTTGTTTCTTTGAAGAAAGTTAAGGCTTTATCCTTTATAGCGGGAACTTTAACATTGAGCGATCTTCTTTTTGTAAAAGAAGTGAGATTTTTTTTTTAAATTATCTTTAATCTGTACAATGCGTCGGTGTATGTTTTCTTAGGGTTTCTATTTAAACCCTTTTTCTCAAACCATCTTCCTACAAAATTTAGGGCAATTTGCATCTGGTTTTGAGGTTTAAGTTAGTCGTCATCGGTTTTTCATGAGTGTTCTTTGTTTTTAAGGGAACTAAATCTGGCAAACATCTGCACCATTTTCGCACAGACTTTTCTTCCTGGTTGGCAAGAATTTTTCACGCTCCTAAAACAAGTCGGCGTTATGCAGTAAAAATAGACGTGGATCAGAATAGAATCACACAGAACGAAAAATTTCTAAAATATGGTTCTAGCGATAGTTTCTTTAATTGCTTCTTTTATCATATTTATAATAATTTATAAAAGCTCGTTGAGTGTTAAATTAATTTATTATATATAGTTTAAATTTCAGATATTTTTCAACGTATGTCCGTTTTTGTTCATTACAGTCCCGATCACTGCCGAATGTAAACGGCTCAAACCGCCAGGATGGAAACGACACGGAGTCCAGGAGTTCGGGGAGGATCATCGCTACCGTTTTACCTTTTACCGAAAGCCCGAACGTTTCGAATTGTTCCAACGACGGACTTCAAAAGGCTTTCGGGAGAGAGGCCTGCGAACTGTCGGAAAGCGGGATATTCGACAATCCCGTCGGAAAGGACAGCTCGACCCAAACGGAAGTCAAAGAAGGAGGCGGCGACCTGTCTGCCGAACTGGAAAAGCTTTCTAAAATAAGGGAGAGGATGGAATGGAGCAACAACCTCCCGCAACCGAGAAAGGATATCGCCTTTTACGAAAAGAGGCTGGACGAACTGGAGAAAAGACTGTTCCTGTATGAAAACAGCAGCGACAAACATATCAGATCAATAAGGGCCGTAATAGATCAGAATGTATACCTCACTGCTCAGACAAATCACATGAATGAAATAATTGAGAGGCTGAAGAAAGAAATAAAACGCCTAGAGTGCGAAAAGAGTGAACTCGATGAAATTGAAAACGAAACAAGATTCAGATGCCAGAGGTAACTCCTTCAATATTTACAATTATTACAGGGAGCACATTCATTATATTGGTTGGCAAGAAAAAAATGACGTTTTTATTACAGTACATATTTTTATTTTATACCTGGCATGTTTTTAACTATTCAGAGACGTATTGTCCATTGCAAATACTTTTTTGTCATTTTCCAGGTGTCATGTCTATTCCTTTTGCATACCAATTGGTACTTTTGGGTCCAGGAACGTTTGAACATTTTCAAAACTTTCAAAGTTTTGACCATTTAACAAATTTTATAATGACCGAAATAAATAGTAGTCACAAGGTGAAATTTTCGGAAAGTATGGCGGGTATGATACAATTTCCCAATTCAGATTAGTTAATAATTTTGGGGCCGGTCTTACCCCACCAAATGCACACCATACTTTTCGTCGTGCATCTGTTGTTTTGGAGCAACGTGGGGGGGGTTGACCAGGTTGGCAGTAAGCTTTTTTGCGGGCAATGTTTTTGTGTGTGTTCCATATTTAATCATCTGTTACCATTCTGTGAAGAAATGAATCTTAAGAGCGACATGCGGGGTGACAGAGGAGTCAGATGCGATCTGACAAATTCCTTTCGCTGAGTTCGTGTGGGATCAATGTAGCGTACTTCAGAACAAACCCAAGTCAGATGTGATGGTCGTATGGGAAACATTTAACATCTCTCCTAAGTTCTTGGGCCATCAAAAAGGAATTTTCTTCCAGCCTATTCCTCAATATGTCGTCAACCTCAGAAGAGCATACAATGCGCGCATCGTTTTAAAATACAAACTATCCTTCTCTAAATCGAGCAAACCACAGTTGGACTTTAAGAACATTTACAGCATTAGTACCAAATGCTTCAAACAAATTTTCAGTTGTAACAATTGCATTCTTCCCTTTTTGGAATAAAGTAAAAAATGCCTTAAATGGGTTTCGTCCAAAGACATGATTACCTGTTAAATTATGCGTCACAACTAAAGGAGTTGAAAACAGAAGCTGAGGAGAAATGAAACGTTTTAATTTTTAGATAAGGGATAGTGATTAGAGATAGGGATAAAAGAAGCGGCATAAGGCCTACTGCACCTCGACCTGAACAGATCTATTGTGCTTCCCTGTTATTTATAAACTCACTGGATAGCTTCAGGTTGTTAACCAACCTCCACAGCTTTGCCAGCGGCTCCTTGGTGTAGGATCTTCCTTGTGGTTTTTCTTTGTCCTAGTTGCAAGAACCTGCACCTACATAGACCTTCACAGAAACATAAAATGTGTTGTGCGGTCTCCTCAACTTCCAGTCAGTATCTGCACAGTGTTTCTTCTGTCTGTACTTCTATCCGGTGAATGTGCTTTTTTAAGTGGCAGTGCCCTGTCAGAAGTCCAACCAGAATCCTGATTCGGTTGCGGTTGCCTTCCAGTAATTCTTTTGTAAGTTTTGCGGATGGTCCTTCTATGAATCTCTTCGCGTGCCTCAAACCTGTGGTATTGTTCCACCAGGTTAAGGATCCATTTTAAGATGTGGTCTTTTAAGATCTTTTGTGGTAGGCTGCTAAGCCGCAGGAGAGTTTTGGATCCAGAGAGTCCATGTTGGCTCCCGGCTCCCCTTTTGGCCAACATGTCAACCTTTTCGGTGCTTCTATGCCCTGAATGTCCAGGGACCCATGCCAGGGTCTGGTCATGTATCTCTGACTTCCGTCAGGGCCTCCATGCAGTTCCAAACACTCGTTTCTCTTCGCCTCACATGAGGCTAGCCCTAAGTGCTGCCTGGCTGTAAGAGAAAATGGCTTTCTTCCGGGAATGTATTCCTAGCCTTTTTATTTCTCTGGCGCATTGTTCAATCGCTATGATATCAGACCGGAAAACTGTAGCATATTTACCTAGGTTTACCGTCAGTTCGTTCTTTGGGTTCATCCCGAAAACTCCAGCTCCCGTACCCTTGTCGGTTTTGGAGCCGTCAGTGAAACAGTACTAGTTTGCCTTTAGCGGTATTCCTTTGGCCCATTCTTCCCGTCTGGTATCAGTACTTTTTAGTAAAATTGTACTTTGTAGTAGTGATCGTCCCAACATAGAAAGCATATTTGTAGGCGAAAATAATACAAACAAAACTGTAAATACTGAACAATTAATCCTATAATTGAAAAGCGACATTACTTTCTTGCCAAACAATATCTTTTAAGGTAGATACTTTTATAGAATTTAACGTTTAAAAATTGTTTTTAAATTAAATATTTGTCGCGATAATGTTTACACGTTACAAAATCCGGTACCTCTCGGTATATTTAGATTAATAATTTGTCTAATCTCTAGGTTTCAAATAGTTCAGAAAAAAATAGACCGATCAAATGATCATTTTAATTCTTTCGATTGACCGTCAAAGAATGCTTCCACGTTCAAGAAGAAACGTTGCGAATACAGCTGTAATTGAAAACTCTCACATGTTTTCCTATCTTCACCTAAATTCCAATAATAAATGAACATAAAATTCCCGTATAAATTTCTTACATAATCAAAATTAACCAATGTTCGTCAAATAAAACAAACATATATTTTTAAAAGGATACGTTGTGAGATTTCGTTGCAAGTTGCAACTGGCGGAAGGCACCCTTAATGGGGGTCTGCTACCACTCCGGGGGGCGACTCCGATTTAAAACGAAGCCACAGAAACGGATAAAACTTAGCGATTTTGTTACAAGATAAAACTGAAAGTAAGTGTTTTTGAACGGAATTTCGGCATTTAATAAACCGATGAGGACTTTGTGAAAGGAGTACGTTAAGATTGTCGTTCCTTCAGTTAAAATTTAATTATAGATGTTCGATTTGAACAAATCAGCCATATTTATATATTGCATAAGTGTATAAAATGATTTTTAGACTCATACATTGTTTTTGTCTTCTTTCAGGCTAGAAGCTAAACTTACATTCGTAAAAGATAAGAAAAGGCGCTTGAAGTGTGAATTGAAAGAACTCAAAAGTGAAATGGCAGAAAGGCGCGATGAGAGGGACAGAACTCATACGGCCAAAATGGAAGCGTTGGTGCAGACGTACGAGAGGAAGAATCAAGAACTAGAAGAGAAAGAACTGGAAGTGCGCTATAGACTGCAGATGTTGGAGAACACAATGCCGGCGCTGATGATGTGGAACATTTGGAGGATGATGATGAGCGTCCAAACCGCGGGCTGTAGTTCAGTAATACCCGCCGGTCCCGGCTTCGTACCCATTTCCGGAAATAAATCGGCCGGACCGTCTATAGGCGGAAAAGACATATCTTTCTCGGAAATGGACGCCCCCATTGCACAGGGGCCAAATACAAGAGAAGAAGAGCTTATAATGAAGCTGAGAACGCTCGAAAACAAACTCAACACGCAAAACCGCCTTTTGGAAGAATCGAAATCTTCGGAAGACGAGTTGAAAAGTAAACTGAGAGAACTCGAAAAACTGATGGCGAAAGAGAACGTCCTCAGCGATATCATCGATCAAGAAGTGGACCAAGACGTGGAGCTTTTTGAGAAGTTGAGCAGGATGGCCAAAGAAAGGGTGGAGATGGATAAGCGAATCAAAGACTTAGAACTTAAAGAAAAACTTTATAAAGAAACTATCGAACACGCGGATAATTTTATCGCACAGCTCGAGAATAAATTCGACACCCAGTTGAAAGAGAAAGACAACCAAATGAGCGAACAAGCAGCACGTTTGCACGAAAACGAAATAAAGCTACGCGCAGCGGAAAGAGATTCGATTTCGTCTGGAATTTTAGAAGAGAAGGTCGTCGCGTTGGACAGCGAACTTAAAAGGCTTCGCGATGAACTCACGATGAAAGACAAAGAAAAAGTGGTGCTCGAAGACGCCGAACGGCAACTGCTTCAAGAGCTTCAGGAAGCCATGAACGAACTCGAAAATATGCGAGGAGAGATTGAAGGACCGTTAAAAGCTAAAATCGAGCTTTCCAAGAAGAAATCTCAAGCCATGGAAGACGAATTAAAGGCGTCGGAACAGTACAAGAGAAAAATGGAAGCCGATCATAAGCATGAGGTAGGATCCGTTATATCAACGACCAAACTGACTAAACCAGCCTATGAAACTGCTAAACATCATTCCACTGTGCATCAACCGCCGTCCACCATTTTAACCAACCAAGATACACAAGAATCATCTTTCTTGAGCCCATTCTCAAATTCATCCGCTGTCCACTTATTTGTTTATTTATTTATGGCACTGTTGGCTTTAAAAAATGCTGCCGTCTAATGTCCATTCAATCTAAAAGACGATTGTTCATCAATATGTTCCATAAATAAATAAATAAAACATTAAGTGGCGATTTTATTTGTCTTGTTTTTTAGTATAATGCTTGTTTCTTAAGCTTTTTTCGATTCAACGAGACTGAACATTTTGTTTTATTACATAATGAAACTTTTTCAGGTAGCGTCATTAAAAAATGAGTTGATGAAATTAAATCACCAACTTTTGGAAAACGAGGTTACGATTGGTGAGCTAAAGGAGGAAGTTCAGACTTTAGAGGTTGGTCTCCAACTTGAAAACATGCATGAAAAAAAAATTACAACAAACAATTGCATGCTTATACAGACAAAATTCACTGCATGCTTTACTGTCTAAAATTCCTCCTGATTACAGTCATAACCAGAAACAAAAACATAAACGGCTTATACAGCACCACATATTGATAGATAAATATTATTTATCACATAATTTGACAATGGTTATTAATTTGAAGGTTTGTAAAATTCACAACTAGAATATAAGTCTCACAAAGATAATTAGTAATATGATCGTCTATACAAATTTTTAAAAATAATTTGTTGGTTTCATTCACTTGTCCTAGCATTTATATACTTTTTTTTCATGTAGATGGCTGTTGAAGAACTTAGGGGTCTTCTTTCCTCTGAAAAAGCTAATAATGAAGAAGTGGTTAAAAATTTAGAATTGAAATTGGAAGATAAAGAAAGAGAAGTTGAATCGATTCTGAAAGAGAAAGTACAAATAACGACAAAAAGTCTCAAAGAAGAACTACAAGAAAAGATTTTCTCGAGTGAAATGATCGACCAAGAAATAATATCGGCAAAAGGTGAATTCAGATTCACAACAGTCAAGGAAATGAGCGAACAAGAAAACAAGTAAGCTAAATTAACCTTACACTTTGGAATAATTGTTCATCAATTTATTTATTTATTTTTTTGTAGAGAGAACAATGACTCAGTCCTTCTTAGTCAAATAATATCAGAGGAAGATTTAGAACAAAGTGTCTCAAGTCAAACTGGAACAAATCTAATGACAGTTTTTAACAAATGGAAAAACCTGATACCGATTGGACTCACAGACATAACAGCAACACAATTCCAGGCGTTCATTGCTATGGTTGAACAAGATGACCCTCAAGATATTGAATTAGCAAAATATGGCCTTTCCAGAGATTTTCCACTCTCTAAGCCTGGACTCCCTAGGGTATGATTATTTAAAAAATATTCTTTAAAATAAGTTTAAAAATAGAACTGTTTATACAGAAAGAAAACAAATTTCTACATAATTATACATAAATCCCTAAATTGGTGTGTTATGTAGTGCAAAAAGATACCAGAGCATTCAAAAATACATGCATAAAATAATTTATATTAGACCTATATGGTAAAACTAAGCTTAAAAAAAAGGAACAGATAGCTAAGATCTCAGTTTGTCTTTTTTCAAAATGTAATGTAAAATAATGTACAATTGATATGTATCTACAAAAGAAATTGTGGATAAATATTACCCATGTAAATGTGCATGTGCTTCAATTTTTGACAACTGAAAAAATAAAAATAAATAAACATCATGTTTAAATATGATTTAAAACTTTTCCACAAAATTTCCTATTAATAACAAAATTTCACACATAAAAACAATTCAAAAAATTCAAAACAATGAGTTCACAACGACCAAATTCGTCAAAAGTTGACCAATCACAGAAAGGTGCCAAGAAAAAATTGGTACTGAAACCAAACGGAAAAGTAAAAATACCATCAGATAGGGTATAAATATTATAACTTATACTTATAACGTTTATCTTTCAGGAATGCAATATTGCTCAAAACGCTGTTGCCAATGCAAGTGGAAAAGATGTCAAAGGAACTGTCGATAATCTCACAAAGGCCTACAATCATTCTAAGGTGAATAAATCTTTTATATATATAAAAAAAAGAAACTCTCATTGAAAACGGAAATGTTGTAATGTTTAATTTGCTTTCAGCGTTGTGTTCACTGTTCTAATTTAGTTGTGAAAAGTCTAGAAAAGTTTATGAATGATGTTAGAGAACTAAAGGAGTATGTTCAGAGAGGAGATTTAGTGACAAGTAGCACAACCAGTCTTTAGGAGTATCCGCCAAAATATATGTTTAAAATGTATTTGTTATTAACTAATAAATTAAATACAACTAGTTTAATTGTTCTATAATGTAAGTTTTTAATCAGCCAGAAATGGGTGAAGAGGCAAAAAATACATTTTAAACATATACATTGGTTTATATTGGTAAGAGTAATAAACATGCCATTTTTTTCCTTTCCACCCATCTTATTTTTGTGACTGATAGTCCAAATATAATGAGGACTAGTATTTCCAAATTTTAAGAAATATTTTTATGGAAATATTTTCTCACTCTACCAAAAAAAAAATGCTTAAATTCCCCAATAAAAAAATTATTTTGTAAACATTTCACAATTTCCAGTTGAACAAAAAGGTTAAAGTTAAAAATATTGCCAATATTTATTTTTAACTGTTTTATCTCATCACTACAAAAAAATCACCTAATTTTCCCCACATTTGCTCAGTTTGTCAAATGGATATCGTTGAATTTTTGTTTTCTTATGTGAAATAATTGAATAACATATGTTTTTTTTCCCAATACAACTTCTATATTTCTAAATTTAATTAATATTTTGAATTGGATGATTTTTTTTTCTGCAACAATATTTGTACAAAGTATTGTTGTGCTGTTGTGAACCTGGTTTTATTTTGAATCGTTTTGAGTTCAATGAAAAAGATCATAAATGAATTAATGCCATCACGGTCAATAGCTCCATAACTTTCTTAGTTGAAAAAGATGGTTCTATTCACAAACTGGTTTTGAGTGTTCCGGTTTTAAACGTTACATGCAGCAATAGTCCATGCATGCAATCACGATGATGATAATGTTTTGATCATCATCATTACTTGCATAGTCCGATGATGAGAATATAATGCTCAAAATCTGGATAACTGCAAAACCAATTTGTGAGAAGAACCATTTTCAACTATTGAATTGATATACTCACTCCATCATTACCATTTTTTAATAGCTTTATGTACCGTGGTCATTTCTGATGGTCTGGCCTATTCTTGCTGACTTTTTTTGTCAGACTTATTTAGTTATTTTACCATAATTGGTATTGTTTGTTATTTTGTCAATGAAATGAGTTTTCTTCTTGGTATTTTGTGTCAATAATCTTTAATCTATCTTTATTTCATTACTCATCAGGCACATATTCATATTCGTATTCAAAATTCATAATTTGGATCCAAAAGACAGCAGCAGCATTTAATTATTGCTTCAACATTTCACTTGTTTTTTGTTTTGGTTTTTTCATCCTCTCTGCTAGTTATCGCCATACGTTTCCCATTTATGCTTCCTAATTTTACTGAACATCTTCACACATACTTTCTACAGCTAGTCTTCAAACATAATAAAATTTATTTAAGACTACATTAATTTTCTGGATATAGCGGAGGTATCGAACACTACTGACAAAACAGAAAGACCAGCCACTGAGATGGAGAAATAGGCTGACCAGGATGGTCTGGTTACAATCAAGTAGTTCATCGCCTCACAGATCAAAACTAGTTATCATAACTATTGCTTCTTTTGTGGATAGCTCTTTATTCCATTTAATATTTCATTTTAATATTTAAGAATAATAAAACTGAGAAATTTCAGACATGTAATGGTAAAAAGGTGATGAAACAAATTATTACTAATAACAAAGCATAATGAGAAACTTACTTAATTCAATCAAATATAAGATTGTGAGATTTCTCCATGTTGTTTGTGGAGTGATGGACCTGAAATTTGGTTGTTACCGATCACTTTGGTCTGCCTATCTTTGCTAGGCCGGTTTCATGGACACACTGAAGATGATGAAATGCCGAAATGCACCCAAAAACCAACCTAGCAAAGAAGACCAAAATGATCAACGTCCAAATTTCAGGTATAATGTTAGTTAAAAGTGTATAAGTAGTTAACATTAAATTAAAATAAATATTTATAGTTAACATTAAATATATTCTTGAGTGATTTTTACACCATCTGAGGTAAAGTTTTGAAATTTGAATAATTAATGATATAGCTATAAACTGGAGCAGATAAATTTTTTTACCTTTGTTTCTCCAAAAATTTAATAAAAAAATTGTCTTTTACCATCCACCCTGGACATATACAGAGTGTGTTTGCAAACTGAAAAAGCTCAACTTATTCTGTTTGCTATTTTTCTGAGTGATCTGAGTGTATACGTATTAAAACTGGTGCTTTACATACAATTTGATTGAAACAGAATTTTTTGTTAGTGTGTTAGTTATTAGTGATTTGTTGAGTTCAAAACAAACTGTCAATAATAAAAATAGTCCACATAGAATTCGATATTGTTATTAAAATTTATAATTTTATTTCTTTTTCAATCTTTTGTGTATTATTTTCAGACATGCAATTCTTGCAATGAGAAACTGGGATCTTTTCTAGAAGATATAATTAAACAGCTTGGTGTTAAGTTACCTCAAATGAAGGTAATGTTATACTTTTTTATTTTATTTGAAATATTTAGCTCAATCATTGTGTTTAATGCTTTTGTTTTATTTCCAGGATCTTAGAGGCAATCAAAGTGAATGTAAGATTTAATGCAGCCCCCATACCCAATAAAAAAGTTCAATTTATTTTAGTTGTATCTAATATCCTTGTTCCAGTTAAAGTTACCATTATTAATAAACAATTTAAACTTAGAAATGGTTTAATGAAATTTTTTATAACAAAATTTAATTTCTTATTTGTAGATCTGGGGGAACCATCATCATTAACGACTAACGTAAATAACCTTTTTTCTAACACATCTATCAATAAAATTGTTCAACCAGAAATGTTTTGATTCTAGGAATTAGGTCCTGGATCAGTGGGGTGGGATCCAAATGAAAATGAGGCTGGGTACAAGATAAAGCCTACATTATCAACATTACAACTTACAGTCGATGAACTGAAAGAAAAATGTAGGGTCAAAGATACGTTGATCAAAGCGTTAGCCGATGAACTGAGGAGCGATGGACATTTCAACTCTAACAGGCTGATGGAGGACATAACGGAATACCCGTCGACAGATCCACCAGATTTTAATCGAGTCACTTTGCACAAATTTTTGAACAATGAACCGACACATGAATTGGACACGGTAAATTATAATAAATTATGATAAAAAATGAACACGCCTAATGATGAAGTTATTACACTATAGCAAGATGGCGAGGAATCGTATAAAGCCACTAATGCTTTGGGACTGCAAGTCGTTAGGCAAGTAGGCCCTGATAGCCTGCTCATCAAGTGGAATCCACCTCCACCTAACAAGGTCTATGCTTTTGAGGTAAATTGCAAATTAAAAAAACAAAAAAAACAATGACCGTTAAATGTTTACTTGAACGAACTTTACATTTCAGATATATGTCAATGGATTGTTTGTTCAGAGAATCCGTAGCCCAGGGCGGACAAAGACATTGCTCCATCCGATAGAACTGGATGATAGAATTGTAATCACCTTAAATACTTTGTCTTATACAGGCCAACATATCGACTCAGCCGAAGTGTGTTACCCATAAGTCTCACCTCTAGTCACATCAAACTATGAACAATGTTTTTATTGCTTAAAGTATTACCATTATAATTTTTGAATATGAGCTTTTAATTATATTTTGTTATTGTATAAAATATGTACAAAGGTTAATATATAATCAAAAATATCATATTTTTTCTTAATGTACATATGTAGTAATAGAGTATGTTTTAATAAAAATCAAAAAATCTTTTTATCACACGTCCTTATATTATTATTATACATTGCCTGATATGAAAATAAAATTTTGTATTGTTATCTAAGCATGTAAGCATGCAGTGTTTTTAACATTTGAATTAGCTGTTATTAAAAATAGTTGCAAGATTACAAAACGCCAGTATTATACATAATTTAAGATTTTTCCGTCCAGCATTTAACAAAATTACAGTATAATTAATTAAAATTAGTTATGATAAACTTCAACTTCATAGTAAAAACTTGAAATTAACTTGGTTCAATAGGAGAAAAAGGAAGATGGATTTTTATCATTGATTTTGTTATGAAATGATTGAACATTTCTAGACATCTTACGTGTAATTTTGACTGGTTCATTGTGTATCAAGGTGACAAAAGCTATTGTAAACACGTTTATAACCAATTGACAGTTGTATGTTATGGGGACTTTTCCTGAAATAATTAACACACTCTATAAAAGAACGTAATTGATACAACCTTGGCTCCACATAGCGAGCACATAGTAAGTCACCCGATATGAGAATTGAGAATGCTTGAGCAACAAGTTTCTTGATCCCTGTTCTGATTCTTTGAAAAAACTGTGGTTTTATTGTATATGGTACTAAGTCTTATCACCCCTAGTGTGGGTTGAGAGTGAATGAATTTATTGGCGTGAATTTGTAGTGAGAGGGCCAATGGTGGAATTTCGAGTATTCCACCACCCTGAGTTAATGGTTTGTAAATAAGAATGAGTGAGTGAGTGAATGGGTTTGATTTTTAGGAACGATTGAATTGGGGGTTGAAATAACCTAGCTGTTGATAGCTGGAGCCCAACCTCAGCAGGTGGACAGGTAAAACCGGACTGCGAACTCCTGGGGAGGGTGATTCTTGAGGCCTGCTGATAATTCATTCTAAATTACAAAAGCTGGAATTGCCTGTGAACTGCGAGAAGTGATAGATTCAACATTGTGTATGTACATTTGAGCTTATATAAATCAGTAGTAATTGGTACAAATTTGTTGGAAGATAAATAAAAAACAAGTACAAAAATCATGACTATGTGGTCATCCATTTTTAGAAAAACATGATACCACTATATCAGTCAGTTTAATGATAGTTCAAAAGGAGCACGCAATATGCTATTTCCTTTGCTAAATAACTGTGATTAGTTTATCTAAATATTGTTTTGATTATTATTTTTAATGATACATGTACATTTATTTATAGGACATTATGTGATGATGTAAATTTATCAGGGAAGGCGAAATTGCTCAAGCTAATTTAGATTCGTTGAATTGTTGTTACACATTATTAAAATGTGACATGCACTTCACTACAAAGAAGTCATATCATAATCCTGCGTTAATAATGCTGTTCATTTGAAACGGATGTTACAATTGTAAAAATAACTGAAAAACCATGTCATCATTTGCCAAACTGCATACATTTTCTTAAATCATTTATGGTGCCCCGACTTGGTTAACCTGTAAGACAAATTATGGAAAACTCCAAGTAGAACAAAATGTCTTAAGGATTATAGGTGATTGCTCATGATGGGCTCCTACATCATGATGCACATAAATATAAATATATGTAGTTATCTACTCACATACATGGATTAATTGTAAAATTTTAATACATGCATAAGTATTCCATACACTCAACCTTAATTACCTTAAATACTAACATAACGACTAAAAATTTAATATTTTAAACATAATCTAGGTGATATGGTTAAAATGTGATATCTGTTAATCAAGTTTGGCATTGGGAAATCGTCTATTGTACTATGTATTATTAAAGTCTTGAACATTTCATTATTCACTAAGTTTTGCCATTTCATTACTTAGAATACCTGCACTTTCTTTTAAAAACAATAAATAACTTATATAAATTTAATACAGAACCTTTTGTTAGTTAAGCAGATTTGTCTGGTTTTTTTAAAAAACATTTTACTCCTTACTTGTTAACCTTCAACAATTGAGGTATTTCTTTGTGAATTTCACGTTGGTTAATGAAGTCATCAAGCCTTGTTTTTATAAAAACATACTAACAAGAAGGTTGGATTACTTCATTAAAGAACCAAAAATCTACAAATAAGAAAAACCAACAAACAAAAAAGAGCTGGAGAAACTTGTTTGTAAGGTTAGGTGAAAAATGTGCTACTTACTAGGCCCTGGAATCAGCTTAGTATGTAATTAGTTGTACTGTGAGAACTATCAAATAAAACTTGTTTACTTATTTATTTTTCTCAAATAAATATAAATCTTGTTGACACATGAAAATGTGAATGTTTTTACAAGTCTACTTTGTAATGCAATTTTTCATCGTATTATTCAATTATCTGCATATTTTTCATAAGGGAAAAATATATTCCTTATTATGCATGAAATGAAGCATGAAAGTTTATGACTATAAATACAATCAAACAATACTGAGATTTGTTCTTTGACTGCTACAATTTTTAGAGAATCTTATATCTTAGAGAATCTTATCTACTCCTGTAAATAAATGACTGAAATCATGCTTATAAACATCACAAACATTCATTCGTATGTCTTCACCCTATGCAGGTGAAATAAAATTAAAAAACAATGACAGCAATTACTCTTTGCTCTATAGAAAAGGTGACTAAAAGTCCTGGATTCGAACCCCAGCAGCCCTGAATCCAAACCCAACATACTTACAAATAGGTGTTTTTTTTTTTTTTTCAAAAACAAATAATCTAATGATTAATGAATTTTTTTCTTCAACAACACCAGTGCCTCAGTGGTTAATATGACGAGTTGAAATACCCCAAAAATAAACCTATAAATAAATTGAATGAAAAGATTTTCTGAGTTAAATATTGTATTTAAATAAAAATTGTGCAGGTGGTGATTTCCTAATTTGGTAATAACAGAGCTAACATGGCAATCACTATCATTATTTTTATTAATTAAGAAATTATTTAGAAAGCATAAATTTTAGAATGAATAAAATATGAAAAACGACATCAATTGCAAACGTTTTTTCAAGTTTAACTTTCGATAAAAATGACTATTGCTCAAGTCAAGGCTTCCCCTCCCCCTATAAAATGATTGCAACTTATGTTCTATATTTGAAAGAAACAGTAATACTTCCTCGACAATCAGAGTGAGTTTGAAAATATGTGAGTTATGATTATATTTTTTATTTCTGCTTTATAACACATTACAATTTACACTGAGCCATGTGTAATTATAATGTATTAAAATATGTACTTAAATGTTTATGCTCATCATAAAATTCATCCATATATTGCCTACACACTTTGTACATAAAATGATTTTGCAGGTCAATCAATTTTATTGAATTCTCTGTATATTTAATGCATAACAAATCAGCCAAATACTACAATAACATTTATTGAATTTTTTTTAAACATTTACTATACTGGTTTTTATACCTGAGAGGAACTTTCAAAAATTAGCATAGAAATGATAATGCATGTGTTTTTGGTTGAATAGAAATGAACAAAGAATTTTATAAAGGAGCAAAAACATGGGTCTTAGACATAGAAAACGAATCCAAACAATCCAAAACCAAAAAACCAAATGACATCGTCCTTGGTTGGCGCAAAACACCAACATAAAAAAGAAGACAGTCATGTAAGTAACAACATTCTAAATTTCCCTGGCTAAAACACTTCATTAGACATACAGAATATGGAGAACGATGGGACTGTACAATCAAAAAGCTGTAAAAACTGTAGAAAACAGCAGAACCGCAGAATGCAAATACTGTAAGGAATTGTTGGAAAATCTTCCTGACCTCTACACTCTTGGAATATATTTTTCTTCTTCTTGATTTCTGTTGATAAAACTTTTTAAAATGTTATTATAATTGTTTAAATAGTTATGACACATGATAAATCTAAGAAACACACATTTTTTACCCTAATAAATACTCATATGTAATAATAATGGTCATTTGTAAGTGTTTAAAGTGAGTTTATTGGTGTAGTGAAGTGTTATTTTGTTAAATTATATGAGTGCAATAATAAAAGTAAGAATAGCTTATTTACAGTTTTCAAATAATAGAGTGTAGTATTTCAAGATATTTACAATATAATATAAACTTTAATTTTCCGTTAGAACAATGCAAGTGAGCTAGATGTGAAAAAGACAACTACATCAAGTGACACTTATGCCCTCTTTTTGCCAGCAGGAAGATGAATTTGATGCGGTTGGTAGGAATGTGGCCGCCAAGCTTAGAAGTATGCCAAAAATCCAACAAACTGTAGCTGAGAAACTCATATCCGAGGTTTTGTTCTATGGTAAAATGGAAAAGTTGTCAATGGACTCGGAAATCAGCTTGGAAGAAATGTCTCTTTCTGAGGAACACATCAAAATTATACCAGAGAAAGTTTGAAACATACACTTTATAATGATCAAGAAATTAAAAGCATTACTGTTAAAGTTTTACATGAAATGGATTGATCGTAAAGTAACGCATCGCTGTAGTTAAAAATCTTATTTATTTTTTAATGTGGAATTAATCTGATTAAATTTTCTGATAATTGTGTGTTTTTTAGGCTAAATTATTCTAGATTTCTCTCATAAATTGACACTAGGAAATATAATTTTGTTTTTTTATTAAATGAACTAAAGCAAAAAAATAAATATACAATATATTACACTTTAAATGTTTACCCGGTTAAAGAGGAATTAATAAATAAGAGATGAAATTTTTTTTATAGTACAGAATAATTGTTAACGAGACATTGCTTGATCAATACTATTTTTTTAAACAAAAATTTAATTGATTATCCTATTCACGCTCCAACACCTTTTTATGACTGTCGTCGTTTCTTTTCTGTTTGAAAATTCATTAGTCATGTACCTTTTGTCCTCCTTTTTGTAATTCATCGGCATGTATTACGATTAAGTGATTAATTCGAAACACGTAAGAGTGAAGGAAGGCAAAGTA